TTTTAAAGGCTTTCGGGGGGATCTGTTTGGTACGATCGACGCGCCTCGACGCAAGCTTTCAAGCTTCGTCTTTTTTAGCTCCGCGGGCGGGGTCCGCGCCGAGATACTCGCGCCCAAAGTTCAACGGAATTTCGTTTTAAATTTTGAAATTTTAACATTGGGGCATGCATGCAGCACCTAAGATTTGTAATAAACCTCCTGAGGCGCAGTTATCGAGCGCAGCGAGCCAACTTTCGCCAAAACGAACGCGCAAAGTCACGCCAGCTGGAGATAGAGCTTTTTGGGCGTTCGGTTTTGTGCAAGGTCAATTTTGAGGTCATTCTTCGGGCGCCTCGCGCGCGGGCACCTTTGCCCCAGGCGCCGAGCGGTCCTCGGGGGTCCCGGACGAGTATAGGGTCTCATCTATGGGCGGGGACCGTCTTTACTCGACGCCGTCACGTATAGGCCAAATGGGGGGGGTGAAGTGTGAAATAGTCTCAACTTGGAGGGGCGCTCACGGCGTTCAGAGTGGTGCCAATATCGCAGCTCGGAGGTATGTGTTGGGAACCACCCGTCTCTATGAGCTGGTGCCAAAAATAATGTGGCGGGCGGAACTTGGCGCTTTCCAAGACTTGGCCGACGTTCGTACGAGGCACGTCGTGCCCATGAAAAACACGCAACCGGCCTATAAGACCGGCGCCGATTGGTGCGCCATCTATAGGGCCGTGAAGCCGGCGTCTCCAGCGAGTATCGCGGCACGAGTGGCCCTAATCGACGACTTGGAAGAGTGTCGCGGAGACGCCCCGTTGTCAGAGTGGAATCGGGTCGAAGGCGGGTTTCTTTTCGTGATCTTTCTTTATCAACCCCATATACAGTTTCATCCGGAGCACATACCTCCGAGCTGCGATTTTGGACCCCTTTGTTCGCGCGCCGCCGTCGAGCGCCGAATTTGGAATTCATGGGAGTCGACTAGGCTCTCCCCAGAGGCCTCTATACCCCAAACTTCTTGCCCTATAGGTGACGCTGGTACCATGCGGAATGGCCTCCGCGCTCTTCTTTCGCTTAAGCATGCGCGCCCGCGCGTCTCAGCTCTGAGAAGTTAGTCTCCGAGAGCAGAAAATGCGAACGCCCCGAAAACCTCTATCTCCAGCTGGCGTGAAGTGGGGGCTGGCGAGCCTAGGCCCGGCGGCCTTCCCCGAGCCGCAAGGCGAGGTCTGGCGGCTGCGCACGCACGCGTGGTACCTCCCGGCCGTGGAACCGGCTTCTTATCGGATCAGTCTGACCGCATCGTGGCTGGGCAGCACTTCAGACGAGACCATTTTCGGGCACATCGGCCACAACCCGTGCGCCTCCAGGGGAAAGGAGGCTTGTTATTCCGGGGTGTATACGTCGTGGCGCGTCCGTCGCGACACTCCTGACCCCAGGGAACGTCGGTGCGCGGCGGGGCGGCGCCTCTCGGTCCGAGGTTTGACGGAGAAAACGGAGTTTGATCCGTTAACCGTAGCAAAGTCCGGTAGGAGCGCTCACAGGCGTGAACCAGAGATATTTAACGATTATCGGCTCGCTGCACTCCCAAAGCGGGTCTACCCTAATGCATAATATATTAGGAATCCCTAGGAATTCCTATACAAGGGTTATCGCTTATAACACCAGGGACTTGCTGTCAATTGCAGCATTCGCCGGAGGCTGTTTTGCTCCTGTTGGGGGTGATAGAGGACGCCGCGCTGAGTCCCGTGATGCCCGGTCCCACAAAAATCTTCTGTTAAAAACGCTCAAACTCAAAATCCAGACGTCAGTTTTGGCTCGTCTGAAGCCCCACTCGCCGCACTCGTACGGGACCGGTCATATACCACCCCAGTACGTGCGGACCCACCCCGTCACATAGCCAGAATTTCGATCCCTGCGGTCCTGCAATTGACAGCCGGGCCCGAACCTTCGCGACAAGGAGGCAAAATCAAGTCAAAATCAAGACAAGGAGGCAAATTATGATTTTATCAAGTCCAACATATGAGAGGAAACGCCCGTTCACGCCCTTGCAAGGCGCCCTCCACGCGGCTGATCATTTCACGGACATCCCGGGGGGCAGGGAGGCCCATAGCGACCACGCCCACCCCCGCAGGCGGCTTCTGGGAGGCACAACTTTGCGTCACTTGAGACCGGATTCATCGCCGATACCCCTTGTATGCCTGGGGCGGGCGAATTCCCAAAGGTGATGCCGCTCACTTTTCAGGTCATGGGGTCAGTCGGTCGGTCGAGGCCTTTTGAGGCCGACCGACTGAGATTTTACCAGGTAAATACCAGTAAATAGAGGTATTTGTCAACAAATACCACGCCTGGAGGCATTGTTCGCAACGGCGATCTACTATTCGCAGAGCGTCAGGGCTCTCCCACACGTGCGGCGGCGCCGCGCACCGCGTGCGTCCACCGTCCGCGGGACCGTCACCTCGGGGGCCTCTGCCTCTGCGCTCGAGGGCGCGTCTTGCTCGTCGCCGAGCGCTGCGTGTAGGTGGCTTTTAAAGGCGGCGAGAATCTGGCGCGCGTGGCCTCGAGATGTTCTGCATCGTCAAGGTCTGCGTGCGGCCGGGCACCGGCGATCTGAAATCGAAGTTCATGACGATCCTCGAAGGTGACCTCTTAACGTTCGTCTTCGAGAAGATCGTCGGAGAGCTGTCGGCCGAGGCTGCGCTGCTCGTCGGAGACCTGCAGCGCGTCACGCTGCTGCTCGGCACTATCGAGGCAGAGCCGGAATGCACTAACGACGCGGCGGGCAAGTACTTCAGCATGGACTTGAAGTCCATCACTTTCGTCGTGTCGCAGCGAGCGACGGCGACGGCGGCGCGGCACACCAACCATCCTGTGGACCTCCTCACGCGCGAGTCCATGGCGGGCGGGCTGCCCGAGTGGAGCGACTTGGGCCATGCTGCGTACAGCACGCTGTTCCAGAAGCTGCGCGGCGTGCTCGAGGCGGACGCGTGCTTCTTCCGCGACTTGGAGCAGGGCACGATCGCCCACGGCGCAAATCCAGCGCCGGCGTCAAGGCCGCGACCGACGCTGCCCGCGGCTGAGACTCCACCGCCGCCGCCACAGCCCGGGGCGTTAAATAGCCCAGGCCCAGGGCAGGAGACGGCTCCGCGACGTATATTGTGCGTAATGCCTTTGCCGCGCCAGCTTCTCGGCCGTCTCCGACCGACCGACCGACCGACCGACTGAGATATTTGGCGACACCCCCCCGACAGAGTTTTTTGCCCAATCTCGGTCGGTAAATGAGCGGCATCACCTTTGGGAATTCGCCCGCCCCTGCGAGTCCAAAGTCAGTTAAATTTGATTTCATTTCATCAAATCTGACTTATTGGGCTCGCAGGCGAGTGAGTGCGATGGCCCCGGCGGTGGTGAGCTGCAGCCGGTGCATCGAGGCCAAGGCGTTTTGCGCCGGCGGCGCGCCCTGCGACCGTTGCCTCCTCTACCAGACGCAGTGCTCGCACCTTCGTTGTGCAGATTGCTCGGGAGCGACGCCTTCCCCAGATCAGTGCTTCCACATCGTACGTCGCCCGCGCTGAAAAAATCGTCCGAGACGCCGCGGGCACGTAGGCCCAGAAGCGCACCTCGGGCAGGCAGAAGAGGCAGTGCGTGGCCTCGCCTTTCTCTTTTGGCCACGTTTCTCGCCTTTGGCAAACGACCCCTTAGGAGAACGCAGACGCGCCCCGAGAACGCGCGGCCGCGGCGGACGCAGACGTGCTCGCGCTGCGGCGGGCCGCGCCTGGGCGCCGGGCTCCACTCCAAGTCGGCGACCAAGTCCGAGGCGGCGTACTGCACCGTGCCTAAGGAGCAATACAAAGGCGGCTACCCGATGCGCCGGCGCCGGCGTCCGGCGCTGAAGCGTCGACGCATCTATGATCGTGATATTGCCGGCTCTGAGTGTGAAGCGTCGACGCATTTATGATGGTGATATTGCAGGCGGCTACGAGTTCCCGTACCCGTCGGCCGCAGCCGCGGCTCTGGGCGGCGGCCCGCCCGCTGCGCCGCCGGTGGTGCTGCTGCACGGCAACATGGCGCGGCGCGCGAAACTCGAGCAGGATTTGGTTCTCCCGAGCCTTCTCACTTCGCTGCAAGCCGTCTCCGAAGGCGAGGCGCACAATTCGACGCCCGCCGAACCCGAGCCCGCCGCGATCAAGGAGACCATCGAGGCGGCCTAAGTGACGACCCGCGGCGAGAATCAGCCTCAAGCGCTTCGCCAGGCCCCGCCCCGCGCCCGCGCCCGCGGATTTGATCAAACTCGATGTGGCCCGTAAAGGAACCTTCCAGATGCAACTCCCACCGGCCGATGCGCCTCTCCCCTGCTTTGAGGGAATGAAGATTTATAGGATCCTTGGGATAATGGGATTTAGGAGTTAGGAGGCTCGTCTTGAAGAGCGCCTCTATCGCACCGTTCAATCAGGCTCGCGCTGAAGAGCGCCTCGACCTCGCCGTTCGAGCGGCACATCGTGACTCCGACTTGGCTTGGCCGCGGCGTGGCGGCGCTTGGAAGAGGGATATGTTCTTCCGGGCCCTGCTTTTGAAATGAGCGCACATGCGGTGGTGTTCGCCGGTGCTGACCGTCGTGCCGGGAGACAGCCGCGCATGCACCCTAAGGACGCAGGCAAGAATCCATCGCTGTCATCCTGCAGTTCATAACCAGAGATTATATACTTTGCGCTGGCCAACATTTTCATGAAACGAAAATCCAAATCGATAAAATACAGCACTTTCCGCGTAAAATGAATGGGCGCCGGTACGAGACTTTCAACTATCGGCTCAAATGCAGACTTTGGGCACAAGTATCGGCGAATTAAAATCTTAATGAGCTTTATTAAAATCCGAATTACCGGCCTTATTGAGATTTTGACTCGCTGATACTTGTGCCCAAAGTCTGCATTAGAGCCGATAGTTGAAAGTCTAGTACCGGCGCCCATTCATTTTACGCGGAAAATAATGTATCGTCTAAATCAGTGATTTGTCGGTGACGGCACACTTATTCAGCAACTGGGGGATTAGCTCAGGGGCAGAAAGATCGCTTCGCATGCGATAGGTCGCGAGTTCGATTCTTGCATCCTCTAAAAAAACTGGCGAATTTAGTTTTAACCTTTTTAACCTGTTATATCCCTGGCATTAAAGTAATCCTCGGCGTGGAAATGGGAGCGCTCAAGCTCCGTCGCGCTTGGAATTTAAACCGGGATGTCACTCGCCGGCGCGTCGCGGCGTTCCTAGGCAGTTGGCGACAGTCGCTGACTGTCGGCGAGCGTCGCAGAGTGTCGCAGGAGCCCAGTGAAACACACCCAATGCAAAAAAGCTTTGACCTTGCACATAAAAATATGCAACTTGGGAAACCATGTCCGCGCTGACAGTGGAAGCTATGGAGCTGATTTCGGTGCCATCGTGCGGCCTCGTGGCTGGTCTCTGCGTAGCCCCAAAAAGTTTGCTCTAGGGGCACTGTGCGCCCCTACAAGACTACCAAAGCGGCTATGGTCGTAACTCGATCAAATCGTCGAACGGTGTCCACCTTAGTGTGCCAGGAGGTAGGCATGAACCTTCTCTAGCAGTACGAACGGCACAAAAGGTGGAGACCATTTTGACATTTTATCAAGGGGCTTGTCATTCCCGTGTGGGTGCTTCGTATAAAAGGCCAATACGTGCCTCTAGAGAGCCAAGAAGATGGGCCTATGCGTTGCCAACGCCATGCCACCGACTTCCAGAGCGGTTGGGGGCGCAATTATCCAAAATCGCGACCTATAGAACGCCCCATCGTTCGTTATCAAATCGTCACAAAATCTCAATAAGTACCCGTAAAGAAGTTTATAAATTACCCAAAGGCTCATTAAGCCAGAATTTTCGGCTTAATACGATACTGGACTCTGCCTCCTTGTTTCAGCGTGAGGCGTCGCAGACGTCGCAAGCGTCGCAGAGCGTCGCAGAGCACCGCAGAGCACCTCAGAGCGTCGCAGAGTGTCGCAGGTGCCGCAGAGCACCGCAGAGCGTCGCAGAGTGCCACAGGTGCCGCAGAGCGTCGCAGATCGTTTGGGTTATGGCGCCAAAATTTAAGGCGAGATTCCGTTGAACTTTGGTCGTGATTATCTCAGCGCGGACCTCGCCTGCGGAGCTAAAGAAGGCGGAATTTGAAAGGTCGCGGCTAGACGCGTTGACTCCATCAAACAGGTTGTCTCAATTCTAGAATCGTGATTTGAGTAGCGGGCCTATCGGCGGCGATTTTAGCTGCTTCAAATAAAGTTTTAAAGAAAGCTATTGCGAATGTGTCGCAGAGTGTCGCAGGCGCCACAGGCGCCGCGGACGTCGCAGAGCGTCGCAGAGCGTTGCAGGCGTCGCAGGCGCCGCAGAGCGTCGCATAGTGCCGCCGACTGTCGCGGCGCGCCGCGACGCGCCGGCGAGTGACATCCCCGGTTTCAAAGGAGCCTATAATCGACCACGGGACGGAGGAAATCAGCCTTTTCGCAGCGAACCCTCGCAACTGAACAACACACACAGCCCACAAGGCCCGCTGTCACGGTCCTTTCGGCGCGGGCCCTCCTGAAGATGCTCACATGAAGGGTTATCTTTTTCTGCGATAATCGAGTGAGGGCTCGCCTGTGGAGAGGTTACAAGGAAGGAAGACGCACGTCGCGGCACTTTGCGGCGGTGCTCGACTGAAAGGGTCGTCGACGCACACAGTACAACAAGATAGTATCACGAAAGGGTTTGCGTTGGGGCTGTGAACAGCAGTTGCTTAGCTACGAAAATCTGAGCGAGTGCACAGCGTCGGTCGGAAGCCAGCAGATTTGCACCCGTCGAGGGATATGTTCGTCGAGGGTTGCCCAGCAACTCATCACAGGCAGGTGCAATTCTTTCGAGGGCTTGCGTCCGTGCCGAAACGACGTGAGAGCTCGATAAGGGGCCCAACCAAGGTTTTATCACGCCCTATTCTCGTAATGTCATTTTCCTGAGTGCACGATTCTCTCTATCTCGAAACGACCGTGCTGCCTAGCTAGAGCCAGGAGAGATGCGCGATAAAAGTGCTAAATTTGGAGCATCGAGACTCAGCTCCCCGGGCTTCGCGATGGTCACGGACGACGGCGTTGGAAAGAGGGGATGCAGGGCTATCCAAATCCGCCGGTCGTGACTATGGCGTAGCCCGGAAAGCTGGGCTACAGGTTGCCAAAGTTCGAGATAAGTCAAATTTGTTAACCTGTAGCTCAGCTTTCCGGGCTTGCCCATTGTCATGGGCGGCGGATTTGGAAGGCCCTGCTTCCCCTCTTTCCAACGCCGCCCGTGACCATGGCAAAACCTGGGGAGCTGAGGCACTGACGACCAAAGTTCGACTAACCTCAAACATCCGGAAACTTTCTCTTTTGGACCAATTGTTTGGACTCGGGAATTTAATTGTCAATAAGCCAGATTTTGGAATTTATTCAGACCACCGGAGGGGGTCTTTGGATTCGATAAAATCTAGGCCCCTTTTCCGGGGGTTGTTATTAAAGATCATCCATGCGCAATTTTGTCTGTCGGTCTGTCTGTCTGATTCACAGTTCCATCCGTGCGGAACCTTAAAACAACTTGAAGACGCGCGCATATGCAGCATGCTGCTGCGCGCGGTTGCGAGGGTGGCGCGGGCCGCGGGCCGCGGGTGCGCCGGTCCTTCTTTCGCTGCTGCGCCATCAACATCGAAATAGGACTTAACCTAAGCCAGCCTACTCGCGTTTCAAAGTGCCCTCTAAGCGGCTGTATACCATGGCACCAACTTACCAAAGGCGCCCTCCGGGGGTCTGCAGTACCTCCGGTGCGCTATTTTATCAATTCTAAAATGGGGCCTTTTAAAAGAGAGCGCTTTTTTAGAATGTTGGCTGCCCGGACCGCGGTGTTGCGCTCCTTAATTCGCTGGGAGGTTGGTGCATCTCTTGCGTAGTTTTGGGCGTAGAATCACGTGGCCAGCTTATTTTTTTCATTCGGCCGCGTCTATGCCATTATGAGGTCAGCATCACTTCAGAGGTGGCACCCACGAAGAAACTGACTAGACAGGCGGATCTGGCGTCGAGAAGTGTGTCGATGATGCATAAGTATCCCCAGCCGCTGCCCCCTCCCCGCCGCCTGTGGTGTCGTCGAAAAGTGCTATTATTGAAAACGACGTACATCTAGCTTTTTGTTTTCCTCTTCTGAAAAGGGGCAAATTGGCGGATTCGGGGAGGTCAGATCCCGATCGCCTCGAATCCGTCGATTTGCTCCTTCTCCGACGTCAGGGGAAAAGTTTCAATATCACTCTAAGGGTAAGATTTATTAAGTTCCCGTTTTTGCTTGTTTTCACTCTGTCGAATAAGATTGTCACCGGGAATTATTTAACCTTTTCCCCCTTGAATGAAGAGTGGCGCCACGCCAACCACTAGCGCGAGACGCTCTCTGGAGGCGCTTGTTGGCTTTTCATGAACTACCCTTGTTTGGGCGAATCTCCGCGAAAGCTTCTTAATTTAGTAGTTAATCAAGTCCAAACCCGTAGTGCCCAAATTAAAAGTCGATAAAGGCGCCAAGGACAGTTCGCGCAACTTGGAAAATCGTGATGGGGCACTGCGCCCGATCGCGACTGCCCCAGTTGTGCGACCTTTCCTTGCTTCCTTTAGTGGTTTTTGATTTTTCTCGGTTTGGGAAGTTTCTTCTTCGCGCGCTGGTCTCCGAGGCGGCGACTAGTACGACTGGAGGGGGGCGGCAAGAACGCACGCGCTAAAAATAGTTATATTTGGCGATTTCTGTTGTGCAAATTCGACAGTCCCCTTCTCTCCATTTCCTTTTGCGAATGCCCGCGCTGCTTGCTAAAGTCAGTAAATTTAAACAGTGTCGCAAGCCTTTGAGATTCCGCGTCTTCTGCAGCCCCAAGTCGGGCGCCGGAGACGCAGCTGCTTTGGCAGGGCCCAGCTCTGCCCCAGACCCGCCTTAGAAGCCCCCGAACACGCTCGGAGGGGGGGGCAGTGGTGCGCAATGGCGAAAGGCCCTGGGTCGTTGCAACTGCCAACATTCTAAAATAACGCCCTCTAAAAGAGAGCGTCTTTTTTAATAGACAGCTTCACTTTTCTCAAGGAGCTTTTCAAGCTGGACTTTAAAAGTAGAGCTTTCAAAGTTGCTTGTTAAGTCCGGGGCGTTTGCAGCGTCTCTACTTGGCGTCGGGCGCGGAGCTCAACGCGCGCCGCGCGCTGCGGCACGCTAGCCCGCGCGGCGATGCAGCACGCGCCGCGTCCCTGCACTTTGCCCGAGGCGCGCGCGGGACCATCGCGGCCGCCTCGCGGCGCGGGCGCGCCGCGTCGACGCCGCGCTCGCTGCGGGCATGCGCGGGCGCTCTACGACGCGCTCTGCGGCGCGCATTTCGCAACGTTACCTCGCCGTCGAATGCAAATTATAATGCAAGTGCGTTTTATTTTCCTTCATCGAGTCTGACGGATCTGAGCGCGCGGGACGCATCGGCGTCAGAAGGAGATGTGCAAAGCACAGTCAGCTTGGCTCTTGCTCGTTAAAGCGTTTTAGTCGACGTTATGCAAATGCGCCGGTCAACTTTAAAAGCTCCTTGAAAAAAGGTGAAGCTGCCTCATGTCTGGGGCAGCGCTGGACCCAGCCAAAGCGGCTGCGTCTCCGGCGCCCGACTTGGGGCTGCAGAGGACACGGAGTGGCGCTCTTTAGGAAAAAATTCTCAACGCGGCGCTGTGGACGGCCCGGACTCGCCGGTTTGAGCACAGGCTTGCCCCCGGGCCCCGGCTCCCGGCTCCCCAACGGCGATGAAACAAACTTGCTACGAGAGGTGAGATGGGGCGGTCACCAACCGGTGTCGGCGTCGCTGCATCCGCCGGTGTCTTCATCCATCCCGCCCTCCGCCACGGGCGCGTCGTCGCTCTCCTCGCCCTCCTCCTCGTCCTCGCTGTCCTCGTCATCGTCGGCGAGGAGACCGAGGAGGCGAGAGGTGTCGTCGTCCTTGGCATGGCGTGCGCGTGCGCGAATAAGTATCGCTGAAACGAAGGCGCACAGAAAAACGCTAAAACAGGAACCGAACAACTCTGAAAGCTAACGGGCTTTTCGAGCTTTTTTTCCTGAC